CCTCAGTCAGGGGCTCCAGGGCCAGGGGCTGCAGCGGCTCCGCCTGCAGCACCGCAGCAAACTCCTTGTCCTGCAGCTCCTCGGGGACCTGGGAGGGGGGCAGGACGGCTAAGACGCCACACGCTCCAGGGTCCTCGCCACCGGCTGCGGCCAAGCAGGCGCCAGAGCCACACCCTCCACGCCCCTGCCACCCACCTTGTTCTCCTTGATGTAGAGGGCCAGCATCTCCTCTCGCCCATAGCGGTAGTCAGCCAGTTTGTACTTGGGCATGGCGGGGGAAGGGGGTGGGGAGGCCACGCTGCCACCACTGGAAAGAGCCCTGAGCCTGGAAAAGGCACAGACGGGAAGGAAGAAGACAGGGCTCAGAGCAGTCCCCCTCGCTCCCTGGCTTTTCCGCACCAGCTGAAGCGCATCCGACTCACCACTCAGGCCCAAAGTTGAGAGTCTCTGCTGCCATTGTGCAGCGGGACACGCTGCCGAGGCCGGGGGACGGGCACGGGAGGGAGAACCGGGCGTCTGCTCTCTGAACACCTGCAGGGGCACAGGGCCACGGGGCCTTGGAGAACCTCCGCAGGATTAGGAAGGGGCTCCACACCTTGGCGGGCCCAGTAGCGGGGCCTGGGGTCGTGAGTAGGTTGCTCAGGCTCTGCAAGGACTCACCTAAACCAGCTATGTGGTGGCCACTCACACCATGAGTTAAGCGTCAAGACGAGGGAAAGACCTGGGGGCAGGCAAGGAGACGGGACGCTAGAGTCCTTCCGGCGTCTGCAGGGGCTCCTCCCTTGGCCTCGGGCTCACCTGGCAGCCTTGCCCCTAGGAAGCAGCAGGCAGGGGCCAGGATCTCTTTGGGCAGGGGCTGGTGCTGGAGTGAACTAGGGTCCCTGAGTCTCGAGTCTGGCCTCAGTAGTGCCTGGGAAGGACCTTCACATCTGGGAAAGATCCTTAAGAAGAGCAGGGGAAGAAGGTGGGGTTAAGTTCACAGGTCAGATGGCATCCATGCCTCTAGCCTTGCTCTGTCCTGCGTAACTGGAGAGGCCCACAGCTGCTGGTGTACTGGCAGGACGCTCGAGGCTGGCAGTGTGGCAGAGGACATGCCAGGCGTAGTCTCGGGTCATCTCACTGGGAGGCTAAGACAGAAAGTACAGCCCAGAACTCGGAAGGAGGTGGCCGAGGCAGGTATGGACATTCAGGGCAAAGATAAAACAAAAACAAATAAGCACACAAGCAAAAAGAACCCACTGGAGCCACAAATATCCTACGGAGAAAAGGTCAGTTCTGGAGAGAAGGATTAGAAATAAATCTGGGCACAAAATTCCTTCCATCATGAAAAAAACCTCGGTTGGCTGCTCAGAAGCTGGAATCTAGGGACTTGGTGCGGGGAGAAACCCGGCAAAAAAGGAGCGGAGGGGCAATGCCAGGACCAAAGATGGGCACACACTGAAGGTGCCAGGCAGGAGTCTGGGCGAACACAACCACAGGCTGGTTTACCCAGCAGGAATCAACATTCAGACCCCCAGTCCTGGACCAGAAGGCGGAAATAAGGTCAGAGTTACCGAGGCCTGCGGGACAAGATGAGACGGCAGCAACCTCTACGGGGCCATGGAGGAGACTCTGGGAAAGAGGCTCATCCCAGGGCCCTGGGGCTAGGGAGGCAGGCGGGCAGGGTCCCGGCGCTGGGAAGGATGCCGTCACTGGCTGGGAGGGAGGCTGGCTTGGCCTGGCTCTGCAACTCCCGTCAACTCCGAAGATGCCACAGTCTAGGAAGGAAGAGGAAGGGAGTTCCTTGGGGGACCAAGAGAAGGGCGCCCTCGCCCATGACTGACAAAGCAGCCCATGACAAACACCGGACAGCAGAGTCCCAGCACCCCAGGGTGAAACGCAGCACTCAGAAGTGACCCAGAGCCAGGCTGCCCTCCCCTACCTGGGCCCCTCCCTCCACAGCTGCAGCTGGACGCTTGTTGCAGTGGCAGTCCACGCCATGCAAAGCCATCAGCCTGTCACGGAATTCCTCCTGACTAGCAGAAAAAGGCTCATCTTCCTATGCTACAACCCTCGAGCAATCTGGCGACTACACAGTCCTTGACTCGACGCTAAGTCCAACAGGCCAGCCACGCAAGAACAACCGCCACCCAATTACTCTTACGTGAGGTCCCTAGAGCAGTCAGACTCATAAACAGACAGTGGAGAGGTGGCTGCCAGGGGCTGGGCGAACAGGAGTTACCGAATGGGTCCAGAGCTTCAGTTAAGGAAGAGGAAAAGGTTCTGGAGACACTGGTGGAGACAGCTGCACAACAACTTAAATGTACTTAATGCCACAGAACTGTTCACTTAAAAATGGTGGCAGGCCAGGCGCGGTGACTCAAGTCTGTCATCTCAGCACTTTGGGACGCGGAGGCAAGAGGACTGCCTGAGCCTGGGGGTTTGAGACCAGCCTGGGCAACTTGGCGAGACCTTGTCTCTACAGTAAATAAAAAAACTGGCCAGGTGTGGTAGTGTGCACCTGTAATTCCGGCTACTTGGAAGGCTGAGGCGGAAGGATCGTCTGAGCCCAGCAGGTCGAGGCTGCGGTGGCTGTAAGCATGCCACTGCACTCCAGCATGGGTGACGGAGTGAGACTCCAACTCAAAAAAACTAAACTAAACTAAACAAATGGCTACAATGTTATATTTTGTGTTATGTGTATTTGGCCACAATACTTTTTTAAAAAGCTTCAGGGAAGAAAAGTGTCTGGGGATGATCACTGCATATCTAGGCCTTCCCCACTCCAAGAAAAACACCCCCCACATTCCTTCAAATAAGCCTCGGAGAAGCAGTTTTGCGATTCCTCCATTCACTCCTTCTAGAAGGGTAGAAATTCGTCCTGGGGGCATGGAAGGGCTGCTGGGCGGGAGGGGGAGAACAGAAGACGGGCCTCACCCCCTGCCTGCCGAGCACGGCAAACACAGCTCTCCTTGGTGCTGCCGGCTCCTCCCGGTCACCCCTGTCCTGGCTGCAAGGGGCACATGGAGGGAGAGTGCTCACACAGTCTGAGGACAGGGACGCTGCAGAGGCCGGGGAAGCAGACGGGAGGCGGCGGAGGGCAAGAAAAACCCCATGCCATGCACCTCCTTGGGGAGAAGCCAGGGACACAAGGGTAAGTCTCTGGGCCCAGCCAGGGAAAAGCCTGGTGCCACAACTGGTGGCTGCCCGGCCCCCTCCTTAGGCCAAAGGAACCGGCGCAGCAGCTGCAGGCCACCCGAGTTCTTCCATCCCTCTGACAGGTGTGTCTCTGCCCCCTTGCTCAAAGTCAGGGGTTCCCGACAGGGTCCTCTGCTCCCCAGGGGACTCTGGCAACATCCGGAGACATTCTGGGCTGTCAGGCTGGGCAGAAACCAGAGATGCTGCCCGGCACCCTGCAACACACGGGGCAGCCCCTGCAACACAGAGCCACCTGGCCCCAGAGAGCAAGAGCGCCTGGGCCGACAGGCGCTCCCCTACACCACGAGCACGGGGAGAGCCTCTGGCGTTCACAGGGAAGAGCGGGGATGAGAGAAGCCACACTGACATCAGTTCATTCTCCCCTCGGTGGCAGAAAAGGCAGTCCCTGATTACACTGTCCCACGAGAGAAATCTGAAATCCTGCCAGGAGGGAAACCCTTACATCTACCTACCTAGACGCACATGCACACACGCTCTTAAAAACGGTCCTGAATCTGTCACAAGCTCTCGAAGCCAAGGCAAGGGAGAGCCTTCCAGCGAAGGCCACGGGGGAGAAGTGGCCAGGGCCCAGGCACGGCACCCCGCCTCGCCCGCCCTGTCCCCGGCCGCCCCTCGCCCCTCACTCCCGCCAGGCCCTTCTCAGCTCTTCTCCTCCCCGGGCTCAGCCCACCCTCACCTGCGGCGTGGGGATGGCGCTGTCAAAAGGCTGCCCCCTGCTGGAGCAAGGGGCCAGTCCAGGCCGGCCGGGGCACCCCCACCGGCTTGGGGGCCCAGGAGGGAGCCTGCTTTCGGGGTGCGGATCCAGACCCGGAGAGGACGCAGGAGCAGGCGGTCTCGGCGCACGCCGAGTCAAGAACATCATCTCCTCACTCCCTCGCCCCGGTCCCCAGCGGTGCGCCTTGGCGCAGAACCCTACCACCATCTGCAGAAGCGAGTCCCACGCTCCCCGACGTTTGGAGCGCCCGCTCAGCCCCAAGCCCCACGGAGGGGACCTGGCCCTCTCTCCGGACGGAAAGACTCTCCGAGCGTGGCAGGGGGAGGGCTGGGAGGCTAAAAGGGAGATGCAAGCCCGGGTTCCGCCCAGCGGGCCAGTGACCTCAGCTCTCCACTCTGAGCCTCCGTGGCAACGACCACCACCGCTTGGCAAGTGCATGCGAGTTAAGAGCTTTCAGAGCGCTTTCATGCTTTACTCCATCTCATCCCTTGTGCCCACTCGCCCAGCCTTGGGCCCTGGCCGGGCCGGAAAGCAAGGGAGGGAAGCTGCGGCTGCCCGAACGGGGTGCCCCGACGTCTTCCGCGCTCCGTCCAAGACGAGAAGGTGTGCGCGGCGGCGGCGGCCATCTCAAGCTCTCAAGCACACTTGGAGCTCGGAACCACTCGCAGCTTCCTGGTGGGCTCTGGAAGTGCCCGCCTCACCTCTCCTCCGAAGCGGGGTTGCTCTTTCGAGCCCAGACCCCAGCCACCCCCGCCAACGCGAGGGCACACTCCCATCCCTCACGTCACACGCGACAGCGACGAGTTCGACGGCTGCACGGGCCAGCCCGAAGTCCAAGCACGCGAGGCACTGGATGGCGGTCGCCGCAGGGAAGCCTCGCGGCCCTTGGCCCCCGGGCCGCGGCAGGGACACAAGGCGCAGGTCTGCCCGAATCCTTGGCGACGACGCGCGAAG